TATATATATATATATATATATGTATAATCTTTACTCATTCATGGGGGAAATGGAATCAGAACGAGAGGGCCCTCTGGGAGCGGGGTAGACACAGTCCCTGCTCTCGCAGACCTAGTAAGGTGACACAGCAGTACCCTCTTGCTGTCCAGGCAGAGGAAAGGCCTGTCAGATATTTATCCAGGTTGGTTGCTGTGACGGTTTGGCTCCTTTGGGACGAGCTGCAAAAACTCTTAAAGTGTTGTCAATGGTCCCGGGAAACTGGGCACAATGGCACCTGTAGTCCCAGTTACTCAGGAGGCTGAGGTGGGAGGATCATTACAGCCCAGGAGTTTGAGACCAGCCTGGACAACACAGCAAGACTCTGTCTCTAAAAAAATAATAAACAGTCCCAGAAGTGCCTCTATACAGAGTGTAGGACACACACAGAGGGGGAGGGTGGTGGCTGCTCTCGGGGAGCAGTGACCCCCAGAGAGCCCAAGAACCTCAGAGCCGGTTCGCCTGAAGACATAGCCCAGATGTATAGAGCCCAAGCTGTTCAGAGTGTGCCCCTTGGCCTGTCTGACCCTTACAGATACCTCTAAGTGAGCAGGGCACAGTGGTGTCATGGTCAGGGAATGACCACTTGCAAGGAGCCAGAGCCCACACAGGCACAAAGCCCCAGGGGGTACAAAGGAGCGTGAGGGGGCTGCCCTTCCCTAGTGCCGGGGTCTCCCTGCACGTGGACCCTGGGTCTGCACCAGCAGCAAAGACATGCCCGCAGCTGTTGGTCGGTTACCACAGCCACACCCTGGGCTCTTACCGCTGCCCCCTCCACCTGTGACTCAGCCTCTTGTCATGCCTAGTCCTAATTCTCAGGATGGGGACTTTGGCCAAATATGGTGAGGGCTGCAGCTCTAGAGGCAGCAGAGTCCCCAGCCTCTCCCACCTCCCCTCTGGGGACTGGGGAGGAGGACCACAGTGTCTCAGCAAGGTGGCCCATCCCGTGGCCAGGAGTGAGGGGTATCTCCCAGCAGAGAGCTCAGGGGAGGAAGCGGCTGTGAGTGTCTGAAGACACCCTGGAAGCCATGCCCGATGGCAACACGGCCATATTTCCCACAGGCTCAAACTCTCCAAGGTGGTGGTGGTTGGCGATCTCTACGTGGGGAAGACCAGCCTCATCCACAGGTACAAGGCTTCCCTTGTCCCTTCGGCCACCTCCCCCAGCACCAGGTTGTCACACCTTTGCCTGGGTGGCCCAGATAATATCAACATAGCGGAAATCGTGTGGCTTCCAGGAACTGCTGGGAGCCAGATGAGAAGTGGTGCAAGAAAGTGGGGAAATGGCAGGGCTGGGCAGACAGCATGGCATCCCAGGAGCCTAGTGCTCATCAGACTGTCCCCCTGGGGCCACAGGCTCTCCCCTCCACTGCCCTCCCTGCAAATGGCTTCCCAGTTTCGCTCAATTTCTAACTTGCAGCTTGCCTTCTGGGCTCCTGCAGCCTCCATTTCCCATACTGTCCTCGCAGGCTGCCCTGTCCTCCTGTGGCCTGCGTGGACCATCACTTCCTGATGGGAAGTGGACCTTATTTGCCTAAAGACTTTCACTGTCACAAGGGAAGCTTCCAGGCACATTTCTGTGAGTACACCCCTGTAACAACTTCTTTGTCTCCCACAGGTTTTGCAAGAATGTTTTTGACCGAGATTACAAGGCAACCATTGGGGTGGACTTTGAAATTGAGCGCTTTGAGATCGCTGGGATTCCCTACAGCCTCCAGATGTAAGTCGCTTCACGGGAGGCTTCCTAGGGGCACCTGAGAAAGGATTTGGGAGCTCCTTCACTGTGCCCATATCAGCGAGGGCTGGTCTAGACAAGCAGGGCCTGGGGGTGTTGTGTGACACTCAGCTTCCCATCTCCCAGAGCCCCCAGACACTCCCTCAGTCCCAAAGTTGTCTCATCATTGGCTCTGACCTGCCCACCTGCCCCTGACCTCCCTGCTCCCTACCCCGCTCTTCTTCCCGAGGCCCTGGCTCCGGTCCCTTCCTGACCTGGGCCTCCTATGATCTCACTCACCAGGCCAGCAGGGGGGCCTCCAGAAGGTCGCGTCTGAGCTCTGAGCCTCTGTTTCCACCTGTAAAATGGGGCCAAATCAGTCCCTGTGTGCCAGGCTTGGGCAAGGAGGGCGGGGATGGAGTCGGCAGTACCCACTTCCTTCCTCAGGTCTGAGGCACTCGTCTTCCTCCTCACACTGCTGCCTTCACTCCCTCTCCTCTGCCTCTCTTTCCTTACATTTCTATCTTTTTTCTATCTTTTTTTTTTTTTTTTGAGACGGAGTCTTGCTCTGTTGCCCAGGCTGGAGTGCAGTGGTGCAATCTTGACTCACTGCGACCTCTGCTTCCCAGGTTCAAGTGATTCTCCTGCCTCAGCCTCCCAAGTAGGACTATAGGTGTGTGCCACCATGTCCAGCTTATTTATTTATTTATTTGTTTATTTATTTATTTATTTTTGTGACGGAGTCTCGCTCTGTCACCAGGCTGGAGTGCAGTGGCACGATCTCAGCTCACTACAACCTCTGCCTCCCGGGTTCAAGCAATTCTCCTACCTCAGCCTCCCAAGTAGCTGGGACTACAGTCACATGCCACCATCCTCAGCTAATTTTTGTATTTTTAGTAGAGATTGGGTTTCACTATGTTGGCCAGGCTGGTCTTGAACTCCTGACCTCAAGTGATCCATCCGCCTCAGCCTCCCAAAGTTCTGGGATGACAGGTGTGAGCCACCGCACCCAGCCACTTCTGCTTGTCTTCTTTGCCAGGCCCTGGGAGTCTGGAGACAGAGGATAGCAAATCTTGCCCAAGGGAAAGTACGGGTCAGTGCAGAGCAAAGCAGGCTAGGAGAATGCAGGGCTGCAGGACCGAGGGGCCCAGAGACTGAGAGCAGCAAAGGGCTGGTGGTGGCAGCCCAGGTGGAGCTGGGAAACAGTGGCTGGGGGCTGGGCTCACCCCGTGTGACCACAGGCCATATCTCATTAGAGGGCCTGGACAAAACAGGGGCACTGTCCTGGCTCAGCCTCTCACTGTCTTACAGTGAGGCCTTTGCCAGCCTCCCCACGGGCTCATCTCCAGGCCGCCACCACCAGCTCTTCCCCCAGAGTCTTCCTCAGAAATGAAAGAATGTATGAGCCGGGCGCGGTGGCTCACGCCTGTAATCCCAGCACTTTGGGAGGCCGAGGCGGGTGGATCACAAGGTCAAGAGATCGAGACCATCCTGGTCAACATGGTGAAACTCCGTCTCTACTAAAAATACAAAAAATTAGCTGGGCATGGTGGCGCGTGCCTGTAATCCCAGCTACTCAGGAGGCTGAGGCAGGAGAATTGCCTGAACCCAGGAGGCGGAGGTTGCGGTGAGCCGAGATCATGCCATTGCACTCCAGCCTGGGTAAGAAGAGCGAAACGCTGTCTCAAAAAAAAAAAAAAAAAAAAGAAAGAACGTATGAATGAATTGATGAAAGAATGAAGCCCAAGGGCTGGGCTCAGTGGCCCACACCTGTAATCCAAGTACTTTGGAGGCCAGAACGTATGAATGAATTGATGAAAGAATGAAGCCCAAGGGCTGGGCGCAGTGGCCCACACCTGTAATCCAAGCACTTTGGAGGCCAAGGCAGGTGGATCACCTGAGGTCGGGAGTTCAAGACCAGCCTGACCAACATGGTAAAACTCTGTCTTAAAAAATGAAAAAAAAAAAAAAAAAAAAAATGAAGCCCAAACCTTCTGTGTCATGCCTCATGCTGGATGATTTGAAAAAAATTCAGGCCGGGTGCAGTGGCTCAAGCCTGTAATCCCAGCACTCTGGGAGGCAGAGGCAGGCGGATCACAAGGTCAAGAGATTGGACCATCCTGGCCAACATGGTGAAACCCCATCTCTACTAAAAATACAAAAATTAGCTGGGTGTGGTGGCGTGCACCTGTAGTCTTAGCTACTCGGAAGACTGAGGCAGGAGAATTGCTTGAACCCGGGAGGCGGAGGTTGCAGTGAGCCGAGATTGTGCCACTGCACTCCAGCCTGGCACCTGGCAACAAAGTGAGACTCTTTCTCAAAACAAAACAAAAAAAGAAAAGAAAAAAATTCAGACCATCAATGTCTTGTTTGTGACTTGTCTACTTGCAGTTTACTGTGAAAAGTTCAATTTTGATCTGTTGACCTTAAAAGCGATGGATTGAGGAAGGATTTTCAGACTCAGCCCTGCATATTGACTGCCTGCCTTGTTCTAAACCGGGGCGGGTAGATCTTAGTGAACTCAGTAGGTGCTCTTTCCCCTCTTCTAGACAGTGCCCATGGCAGACATCATTAATCGATTTCTGTACTCTTTTCCATGCAGCCAGGGCTTAGCTTCTAAATTATTCTCACTACTGTACTCCAGAGATCTGGAGCTAACTGCTCAGACCCACCTGTTGCCACCCCTGTTAGGTATCCCCAACCCCTATTTTGGGACCTGCAGTGTAGAAGGTGAAGCAATGCCCCAGTCATACCCATCACCCAAGCAAGTGGCAGAGCCACTGCTGAGGCCCAGCCTGGAGCCCCAGTGCCATTCACAGAGCCTCTACAAGTGGACTGCGACATCTTCAGAGCGAGTCATGTCTTGGACCACATGTTTCTTCTTAATGTCTCAGTCAGAATGGGGTGAGCTACACACTCCAACCATCTGGGCAGCAGAACAACTAATGCCACACCCCCTCCACTAGGGACAGGAGAAGTCCACCGGGTGCACCCTAGGAAGGGGTCGTAAGGAGCTGGGGGTAGGGACAGCTGGCTCACCACAGGCACTTCCTGAAGCCCATGCAGCTGGCACAGGCCCTCAGGGTCTCCCACCCATGGTCCCACAGCCTGTTAGCTTTAGACACTGTGATTGTGTAACCTGACACTGTTTCCCTTCCTTTCTCACCCACCTCACAGCTGGGACACAGCTGGGCAGGAGAAGTTCAAGTGCATCGCATCTGCCTACTACCGGGGCGCCCAGGGTGAGCGACATGACACATCAGGCCCTCAACCACGAGTAGCGGGGGGTTCCGCCAGGCTCCACAGTGGGAATCCCAGGTTCTCCGCACAGGTGCCAGTTTTTTGTCCTCCAAGACCCACTGAGAAAACACCCAGACCACAGCTTGGGAACAGGGAAGCTGCCTTCATGCACAGGCCCTGGTTGGCTTTGGTGATCACACCCTTTAAGGACCCTGTGGTAGTGGGTGCTGGCTTTAAGCATAAAGATGCTCAGAGATGAAAGTGCTTTTCCAGAGGCCCGGGGAAGAGGACAGCATTGGACACCAGGGGGAGGTGGGAGGAAGCTTGCCCTATCTTAGCAGAGGGGGCTGGGCTAGGGAGGAGGAGTGACAGGGGGACCACGGGAGAACTGGCAGGTCCCAGGTGGGGGCCAGCAGGGCTGGGTGTCCATCACTTCTATGGCCACCAGCAGCCCAGTGGTGCTGGGCAGGGCTCACGGTCAGGAGGGGACAGCAGTGTAAGTTCCTACCCCACCTTCCAGGAAGAAGACAGAAATGAATTTCAGTGGGAGATGTGAGAGAACCTCAAAAGTATCCAAAACCAGATTCAAATTATAAGGCACTTTATGGCTGGCCTGTAATCCCAGCACTTTGGGAGGCCAAGGCGGGCAGATCACGAGGTCAGGAATTCAAGACCATCCTGGCTAATACGGTGAAACCCTGTCTCTACTACAAAATAGAAAAAATTAGCTGGGCGTGGTGGCACATGCCTGCAGTTGCAGCTAATCTGGAGGCTGAGGCAGGAGAAGCGCTCGAACCCGGGAGGCGGAGGTTGCAGTGAGCCAAGATAGTGCCACAGCACTCCAGCCTGGGCTACAGAGTGCAACTATGCCTCAAAAAAATAAAAAGACTTAAAAGAAGCAAAAATAGGAAAGAAACCATGCAGCCATCAGCCGTGGGTTAAGGCCCCAGCTCTGCCCTGGCTGCATGGCCTCCTGCACCCTTCACCTCTTCAGGCCTCTCTTATTGAGGGGATGCTTCTCCCCTGGGGATAAGAGGTCTGAGGCACCTGGCCCAACTCTGCACACAGCAGCCTGGCTGCCGCCATCCCTTTCCTCAGTTTCTCCCTTCCTTTCTCTTCCCATCTGCCTTGGGAGGGGCACGGGTCTCTAGCCTTCAGCCAAGGTGCAAAGGAAGCCCCTGTCCAGCCCTGGTCACACCCCTGGGGGGCAGTAGAGAGCATTTGCCTGGAATGTCCTCCACATGGGGCTCTCCGCAGGACCCCAACAGGGCCAGGGTGCGGCCAGTGATGAGAGGAGCTGAGGGCGGGGGCTGCATCTCCCGGTTTCTGCCCACCTGGCTCCCCGGAATTGTTTCCCTAAAGTGAGTTGTTGCTAACCCTGACTGCCGTAGCTGCCTTTGGTGGAAAATTGGCCCTGCGTCTGGCCCTGGACACAGCTTTTTAAAACAGCTGCTCTTGTTTAATCCTCACAGCAAAGCCCATGCGCTCGGGTCACGCCCACCTCGCCCTGCCTCCCTGTATCTCACCCTGAGGCTGGGCTGCCGGGTGCAGGCTGGAGGGTCCCTGTGGGAGACAGCCATGGGGTGCCTCCTCCTCAGCCTTCATTGTAGGAGGCTCTGGTGCTGAGTGCCTGGCGGGGCTGCCCTGGCAGTTCCTCGGGCACTTCCTGGGGAGCCCCCTTGCTCGCCTCGCCTGGCACTGATTGGCTGTTGGCTTTTTCCGGGTGTCCAGTGATCATCACGGCCTTTGACCTCACTGACGTGCAGACCCTGGAGCACACAAGGCAAGTCTGGGCTCTCTGGCCCCTGCAGTCTCCCTGGGCTCAGGAAGCTGCCTGGAAGTGCTCCCAAACCCCAGCCAGCAGGCCCCAACCCCAGGGTGGGTGTGAGTGACTGTGTCCCTTGTCAGAACCAGCTGCTCATGGGCCCCTTACTGTCCAGCTGCCTTTATCCCTCGAGATTTGCCTCCATTTCTTCTGGAGGAGCCAGCTCATGAGTGCGAGCCCAGCACAGCCGCCCCCAGGCACGTGCTCAGCGCGGCCCCAGCCTGCTGTAATACTCTGCTGTTACCATCTTGCAAGTCCTCATACTTTTTGAAAGAGGGGCCCCACGTGTTCACTTCACTCTGACCCTGAAAATTGTATAGCCAGTCTTTGAGGGGACATGAATTTGGCACTTGCAGTCTTAAGAAGAGAGAATTGGCAACGTGACCCATTCAGGAGGCCATCCTACTTCTGCTGGGAATCGGGAGCAAAGCCCTCTCGCCTTACCTTGGTCTGGGGCATTCACAGCCAGCATCTTCCAAACCCCTCGAGGGAGGGAGTGATGGTTCTAGTTGATAAACATGCAGGGCTCACCCAAGGTCTCACCGGGAGAGGCCAGAGGCAGGGCCAGGAGGGTCTTCACCGCCAGTGCTCTAGAACTCTCACCACTTCCGGTCCAGCAAGGCCCTTCCGGCTGGAGGTGCAGCATCCTGCTTAGCCAGTGTGGGCCAGGACGCCCTCCTTGCCCCTCCCAGCCCAGCACCCCAGCCCTGGGGCGGTCCCAAGTGTGCCCTAGCCCCCTGTGTGGGTGGGAGGATGGGTGAGTCTCTCAGCCTCTCTCCCTTGCACTCCAGGCAGTGGCTGGAAGATGCCCTGAGGGAGAATGAGGCAGGCTCTTGCTTCGTCTTTCTCGTGGGAACCAAGAAGGACCTTCTGGTGAGCAGAGTGGCCCTCGGGAAAATACCTCCCCTTTCAGCCCTCATTGGAGGAGCCGTGGGGAGGGAGGGAGGCGGCACAGTGGGAAGCAGGCAGCTGCCTATCCCCCAGGGCCTGCCTGCAGGCGAGCCCGGGATGCTGGGTCAACAAGGGCTATTTCTCCCAGTCAGGGGCCACGTGCCAGCAGGCCGAAGCTGAGGCTGTGCACCTGGCCAAGGAGATGCAGGCCGAGTACTGGTCAGTGTCAGCCAAGACCGGTGAGTGGGGCCAGGGCTGTCACCATGGTGGGGCAGAGACCTGCTCTGGGGCCAGTCTCGCAGGGCCTGCCATTCAGCTTTTCCCTCTGCAGCCGTCTGTTCCTTCTGTGGCCCTGGCACACACTGGCATCGCAGCCCAGCTGTGCTGGAGCCTGGCAGCACCTTACGCTGCCTATGAGGAGCTGCCTCATCTCTAGAAGGAGGCTGGGAGGCCTGCACCACCAATGGGGGAATGGCGACCCCAACCCTGTGTCATGCCGTGCTGGCCTGTTCTTCAAGGCAAGCCCATGACCACTCATGAGGCAGGTTCCATTTCCTCCCTGTGAAGTCACTTCCAGGGCCATTGCGTGGCAGGGCCAGGATCCAAATGCACCCTCACCTGTAACCATTGCACTGTCCTGCCCCCGGCCCTGAGATGCCATGCCTGTGATATCACCTGGCATAAAGAAGGGCCCAGTGACAGGGGCTCCCACCCCTTCCCAGTATCACTGTGGCTCGCAGACCCCAGCTCTCACTGAACCCACTCCCCACCAGGTCTACCCCTGGCCATACTGGGCTCCCAGCCCCAAGCCAGATGCCTAGCGTCTTTGAGCCTCCATCTCCCATCTGGGAAGCAGGTGATGCCTCCCATCTCCTTTTTTTTGTGGAAAAAAAAAAAAAGTCTTAAATTACAAAAGCCCTGTGTATTTACTGAGGAAATCAGAAAATCCGAAGACACAAAGAATAGATGGAAAACACAGGTTGTTGGAGGATGAAATGAAGCCATGCACACGGCCTGGCACACAGTAGGCCCACAAGGCTCTGGGGACTTAGGAATTGGGCCCAGTAGTCCTTGCCCTGTGTAAGAGGAGACCACAGATACCTAGTTGAAGACTGGGTGAGCGCTGAGGTTTGCGCCACAGTGCCCTCCACTGCTCCTTCCAACAGTGAGAGCTGCTCTGTGAGAACCCTCCCTCCTTTATGAGAGCGACAGTGAGTTCACCGACACCTCAGTGTGGGCCAAGCAGGACTGCCCTGTGCAGTTGTGCAGGTTGCTAGCTGCACAAGGGCAGTGTGCGTGTTACGGGGCTGGAAACCAGCCTGCTCCCTAATGGGCAGCCACCTCTACCTGGAAGAGGATGCATAAAGGCTCCATGTGGGGGGCTGACAGCAAATCAGTCCTCACAGCCCCACTGGACAGGTATGGAAAGTGACAGAAGGGCAGGCACACATCTGTCCTGAGCCCCACGTGTCCCAACACCTGGGCCAAAGTAGCGACTGATTGGAAGAGGAGATGCTGGGAAGCAAAGGCTCAGAAGTTTGAGGGAGGGGCCCAAGCAGGCAGCGGGTGGGAGTGGGGTGGCAGGAGCCAGGTGGGAGTGGGGAGGCTGGAGCCAGGTGGGAGGCCAGGCCAATGGACCCTGCCCCTGGCACTATGCTGCCCTTGTGAGTGGGTGGGGCTGTGCCCTCCTGTGGTCACTGTTATTGTCAGGTTGCTCTAGAAAGGGCCATGTGCCAGCCTGAGGGTGGGCTGGCCTGGCTTTCATACCCAGATGCCTTGCGGGGCCAGAAGAAACACTGATGAGTCCCAGCTGTCTTGTGGGCCCACAGGTGAGAACGTGAAGGCCTTCTTCAGCCGCGTAGCCGCCCTGGCATTCGAGCAGTCCGTGCTGCAGGACCTGGAGAGGCGGAGCAGTGCCCGGCTCCAGGTCGGCGACGGAGACCTAATCCGTGCGTATAGGTGTGGCTGGGTTGGGCTGGGGAGCAGGCTGGAGGCCTAGAATCCACAGGCACTGTCGTCCTGTCACCCGAGACCCTGCCATTTCCTAAACTTGTGGCCCGGGGTGTCACTGCAGCCTCAGGCCTGTGGCCTCCCGGATCACACCTGCCAGGTCAGACACCCTCCTTTGCCCTCCCTGTTCTCCTGACCCACGGACCTCATGGACCAGGCTGGGCATCCCAGGCTCTGCAGATGTGTCCTGGCCCCGGCTCTCCCAGTGTGCACCTTTGCCCACCCTGTCCCAGTGCCTGGAATGCCCCTCAGTGTCTTGTCCTAGGCCAAGTTATTCAGGGATTGAACAACAGGCCAGGAGCTTCCGCTCACAGCTCTGACTGTCAGGGCTGGCATCCCCTGCCCAGTGTCAGCTACAGGATTCTTGGTTGATGCTAAATTACTTCTCCCCTCCTTGCAGGAATGGAAGGGAGTCCACCTGAGACCCAGGAGAGCAAGAGACCTTCTGGCCTGGGCTGCTGCTAGCTGGGGCCTGCGTCAAGGCCTCCGCTCCCTGCACGCACATGGATGGGAACTTCGTGACTGTGGAGCAGAGACTGGAGCTCGAGCTCTGTGGCATGCCTGCCCTCAAACTGTAGGCCTGGGTTCCAGTCCCTGCACCCACCCACCTCGCTCAGCCCCAGGGCACAGTCTCTTCTCTTTTGCAGGTAGGGAGCTAGAAAAGGCCCTACTGGCTGCCTGGGAGCCCCACACCACCAGGCCAGTGCAGGCACCGTGGTGATCCCCGAAAGGCTAGTCCACTTCCGGGATCATCAGACAGTCACCTTTGGCCTCAAGAGACCTCAGAACTGCAAACTCCTGCCCCAGTCTATACCCTTCAGCCATGGCCCAGATCAGCAGTCAAGCCTGGCACTCTTTCCCAGTGATCTCAGATGTGTCCTCAGGGCCCTTCTCATCAGTGTTCCAGGCAACCTGGATTTGTCAAACTCAGCACCTGAGGGAGAGGCCACCTGCCATCCCATCTGAGAGTTTCCTGTTGTCAGCAGGATTTATGGTTCTGGGTCTTAGAGCTTCAGGCCTCACTGTCCTTCTGCCCCGGATGATGAAGATTTCTGGGCAGACCAGTGCCTCTGGAGGACAATGGACAAAAAGTCTCTTAGACCTGTTGTGGCGGAAGTGTCATCTCTGAGATCCCTAGGTCCCGCCCTCCTGGTCAATGGGCCAGGATGTGCAGAACAAGCCACCCAGGCCTTTCTGGCCCACCTGGACAATGCATTTACCTGTGTGCTACTGGAGGAAGGCTGCACAGCTGCCCCAGGGTAGCTCACTCTGCAGCCCCTGAGCGTGGCACTGCCCTCCTCCGGCACTCATGCTGGGCTTGTGCCCACTGCTGCCTCTCCATCCCTCTCTCATTGGCCTGCATGTCTCTTAGGACCTTTGTAATGGTGGCCATGCGTCGTTGGAGGCCTTCAGAGGCCTTGCCAAGTCGAGCATGTTTCTGTCTCTAACACCACCTCGTCCTGCACACGCAGAGCGGGCAGAAACACCCAATCTTCCCCAGCCTCTCTGCCCAGTAGGCTTGTCCACGGGGTCTCCTCATGGCTATGAACCAGCCCCACCGCCCACGCTCCCGTCACCTGGCTGTGCCCACTCATCCCACCTCGTGCTGTTGCTTCTCGTAGATGGTAAGCACCTTGCAGGCAGCCTTCTGATCAGGTTCTCCTAGGGCCTGCCACACCGCAGCTTCCCATAAATGTTCAACTCAGCGATTGCCAAATGCCACTTAGGGAAGAACACTGGCATCTTTTTCTGCTCGTTCCCCCTTCAACATATTTTTTGCACTTCTTTATATAAATGACTTCCAAAGGGGTTGTATGTTTAGTGTGAACAAAGACAGTACAAAGCATGTAAAATACAAGGTGGAAGCCCTCCCCCCTGAAGTTGGCTGCACCCCTGAAGTGAGCTCTGCTAACAGTTGGGAGGACACAGCCAGTGTTGATGGCTTGATTTGTCGTTTTTGCCAGAGTGACCTGTACACACTGCCTGGCAGCCTGCCTTCCGGAACTGGTGCTTAGCCCTCTCCCCGTTGGGACACGAGGAGCCTCCTTCCTGTAGCAGCACCCAGTTTCCCTTCATGGGGATGGACCCTTCCCCTCCAAGGACCATCGGCTTGTGTCCAGCTTTTCCATTCTTGCAGTTACAGCTTTGCATACTCCGGAAGGCTCTTCTCTGGACTGTGGTCTACGAAGCGCAGCCTGTGATCAGGGCAGGCGGCACTGGGGTGCATTAGGAAGACCAGGTTCACTGGGGATAGGCTTCACAGGACAGGAGAACCTGGGCACGGTGGACTGTCGTTCTCCACAGCTCCCTTCCCTGCCCCTTCAGGCCTCCAGGATGTGTTTAGGGGGTGGGTGGGTGTGGCGTCCAGCTGTTACCAGCTTCTGAGCTAGAGCCGCACTGCCTCATGTACACCCCCACCTCTGTAAATGGCCCTGGATTAAATCACTCTCATGTTACCTCCTGCAGTGTGCCAACTGATTCCCACACACCCTGACTGACAGTCATGGCCTCTCCAGCTGTGATATTTGGCCTGGGAGGATAGGAGAGACTAAGGTCACCAGGGAAATGAAGGGGACTCAGTTGTCCCCCCACCACAAGCTGATGCAACATCTTCTCGGTCAGAATTGCTTTGATGATTTCATGAAGACATTGCCTTCATTCCCTGCATTGGGCAGTAAGTTTCCTGGCAGAGGCACTTTCTATTGGTCTGGTCCTGTGGCCCTGGCAAGCAGCCAAGGCACAGCAAGTGACCACAGTGACCGCATCCACGTGCTGTGCTGCCGAAACACCTTTTTCTCTTCCCTGTTTCCCTGGACCCTTCCCTGCTGTCTGTCCGTCTGTGCATCCTTCCATTCATCTGCCTCTTCTGCTGGAGACACTTACCCAAAGCAGGTCCTCTCCTGTCACTTCCTGGCTACCCAGGGTGAGGTCCCAGGGTGCTCCCACTCCAGCATTCAAGGCTCCTCACCTCCCAGCCCACCCCACCCCCACATGCCTCTGTGCTCCAGTTGTGTCCCTGGTCACGATGTAGTCTTTGCAGGTGCCAGGCCCCTCTTCTGTGCCCAACAGCTGGGACACCCCTAAACCCAGAGGCCTTTGTGAACCCCCCACAGCTCTCGCAGCTCTGATACCTTGAGTGTGCCTGGTCACATTTGGGTTTTCCCCCACACCCATCTGTGGAACCCCAAGGACCTGGACAGTGGCCTCATCACCTCTGCTGTCTTCCCTAGCACTGCCGGGAGGAAGGCCCCACAGTAGGTGCTCGGTAGATGTGTAATGAAGGCAGGGAGGGCCGGACATGGTAGCACACACCTGTAATCCCAGCACTTTGGGAGGCCGAGGTGGGCAGATCACCTGAGGTCGGGAGTTCAAGACCAGCCTGACCAACACGGAGAAACCCCGTCTCTACTAAAAATACAAAAAATTAGCTGGGCGTGGTGGCTCATGCCTGTAATCCCAGCTACTTGGGAGGCTGAGGCAGGAGAATTGCATGAACCTGGGAGGCGGAAGTTGCAGGGAGCCGAGATTGCACCATTGCACTCCAGCCTGGGCAATAAGAGTGAAACTCCATCTCAAAAAAAAAAGGCAGGGAGGCCAGAAGGTTGCTCAAACAAGGACATACTCCCAGCAGACAAATTGCATTCTTACCCAAGATGCCACCACACGAACCTTAGACCTGCCTAGGGCACAATCCTGTGCTTGGCTCTCCTTGGAGGCCAGAGACAATTGTGTCTCATCACTCAGTTGCAAACCCAGAAGTCCTGTCTGGCCCAGAGACCCTCACAAGGCATCAGCCAGTGAAGGCGGTTTGGGGGCCTGAGGATACGTTCTGGTCTTGGGAAGAGCTTGGTAGGAGCCAGTCACTGAAAGTTTCAGGGCAGAGCTGCACAAGTCTTGGGAAGGATACTTATGCCAGCTAGAGAGGCTCTGGGCACAGGAAAGAATTGGGCTTGGGGCAGGAAAACATTTGCGCCATTTACTACTATGTAATAAATCACTCCAAAACTTCATTGCTTAAAGCAGCAAGTATTTATTATTTCTCATGAGTCTATGATTTGACCAGTTATTATTCTGCTCCCTGCTTGGTGGCTGAGCTACTAGGATGATTTTCCCAGAGTCCACAATGGCCTCACTCATATGCCAGGCAGTTGGTGCTAGCTTCAGCCTGAATGCTTGCCTTGCCACACGGCAAGCTTGGGCTTCCTCACAGCATGGTGGCTGGTTTCTAAGAAGGAGTGTTTCCAGAAACAAGCCCCAATGTATAAGTGCTTATCAAGTCTCTGTTTGCATCACACTTGCTGTAATGGGGCATTTTGGCCAAATGTCCGAAGCCCAGAGTCAGTGTGGAAGGGGACTTCATAAGGGTGTGAAGTACTGGAGGTCTGATGCATTGGGGGACAAATAAGGGGGAGGCAATATAGGGAACTGAGAGGGAGAGTGAGAAGATGAAGGGCTCTGTGCCAATGTCGGCTCCTCTTTTGTCCTGAGGCAAGGCGAGGGCTTTCTCCCTACGCAACAGCTCCTTACCCAGACCTTCGCCAATGAACTCAACGTAGAGGTGCTTCCTCAGGGAAGCCTGCTTTGGCCTCTCCAGCTGGGTCAGACTGCCCTTGATCCCTATCCTGGTCTCCTTTGAGGCATCCTGATTTACAATTCCCTTTCCATCCTGGTGGCCTTGGTGGTCTGCCTTCTTCACTGCTGCATCCCCAGCACCAGCCTACTAAGTACGCCTCGGAATGAGTGCATAGCTAGTCTCATGGTGCAGCCTCACACAATGTTGCTAACAACTGGAACTCTACACCTCGGCTCCCAAGAGGAAGAGGCCAGAGCCCAGGTCACTGCTGACCCCAGCAGGCACCACTACCCACCATTCACTCGAACCCACTTCTGGTGGAAATTCTGACCCAGTGTTCCCCAAAGCAGAAGTCATCCAGGAGTGGATGGGGAGTAGCCTCCTGGGGAAGTAGCAAGAGCCCCCATTTATCGAGCACGCTCTCTGTGCCAGCCCCATGTGCAGTGGGGCGCTCTGGAAGCTCATTTACTCACACCAATGCTGTAGGCTCAGTACAATCCCCACTCTGTCCCTGCCTAACAGGTGAGGAGACCGAGGTGCAGACAGCTGAAAAGATGGGACTCACCTGAGCACCTTCTCCTCTTCCACACTCCTGGTCCCTCCCCTGCCTCTGCTCCCAATCCCACTTGGAGTCTGATCCCAGCACGATTCTGCTCCAGGTGCCCTCGCCCCTGGGGCTCAATGTCCCTTAGTAAGGTGGCCCCAGCATACTGCCACCCTTTGGAGTTTACTCGCATGGCCCCAACCAAGCTCAGCCCTCCTCAGGGTCCCCCAGCTGAGCCTTCCTTCCCCTTCACTGCCGCTCCCTGTGCCCTCACAACGTGAGTCTATGAGTCCATCCTTCCCAGCCCAGCAGCCGTGGTGACACAGGCTCCACAGGGACCGGAGCAGGGCACTTGCTCTCACATCCTTCGACCCTGTGCCCCGGGCGCCTGCCTGCCTCCCCCTCCTCCCAGCCCTGCCACAGGCCTCTGGGGTGGAGGGGGGGCCACCAGGATCCATTCAACTCACATTTCAGCCTGGGGGGTGGGATGGGAACCACTCCCAGAAAAACCTCTCTCACTGGAGGGATGCAGGACATCTTAACCCAGCAGAGCTGAGGTCACCTACAATCTAGGTAACTTAATATTGAAGTGGAAGAGGATCGGTTAAATTGACCCATTCATTAACTCTTTTTTTTTTATTGAAAAATTTTTTTTTGGTTTTTAGAGCCAGGGTCTCGCTGTGTTGCCCAGGCTGGCCTCAAACTCCTGGGCTCAAGCAACCCTCCTGACTCAGCCTCCTGAGTAGCTGGGACTGCAGGCACGCACTACAGCACCCAGCTTCATTTACTAATTTTTTTTTTTGAGATGGAGTCTTGCACTGTTGTCCAGTCTGGAGTGCAATGGCATGATCATAACTCAGTGCAGCCTCAACTTCCCGTCGTCAAGCAATCCTCCCACCCCAGCCTTCTAAGTAGTTTGGACTACAGGCATGAGCCAGCTTGCCCAGCTAATTTTTTTTTTTTTTTTTAATTTCATGGAGACAGGGTCTTACTGTGTTGCCCAGGCTGCACTAATTCTTACTCGTTCATACATTCAGCTTTCCTGGAGCCCCCTTTCTGGCCCACCCTCTGCATTGTCCCATTCACTCCTCCCACAGCCCACACGGCAGGTGCCAACCCCACCCCATTTCCACAGGTGTGCCAGGCTTGGCATGGGGCATAAGCCCTGGGGCCACACAGGCAGGGCTCGACCGGGAGGCAGCTCCCTCCAGCTCTTGGAGCCCTGCGCCCCTGGGGATGCTGGCAGGCAGCCAGGGAATCCCAGGCGTGGGGGGACTACAGAGGGGACATAGGAACAAAGGGAGCCTAGGGCAGGGACGAGAGAAGGCATGCGGGGATTTTCAGAGGAAGAAACTCGCAGCACGGAGAGGCACTCCTCCTCTTCTGAGGGAGAAGCAGCTCCTGGAGACTGGGCAGACCCTGGGCACCCCCCTCCACCCCACCACACACACACACGCACAGACACCTGCCACTTCAGGCACTGTGTGAGATGAGACACCCTCTCAGCCATTCCCAGCCTCCTCTACCATCTGCTGTGGCCTCCCAGTGTCACCTCCCATATGTCAGCTTTACCCTGAAGGAAGCCGATGAGCAGCCGGGATGTGTGACTGTCACACGCTCCTTCCAGGCAGCACAGACCTTTCCTCCTCCCCTTGTCCAGGCACCCCCTCAGTATTCAGGGCCACCAGCCGCTGTCTGAGCCTCGGCCTCAGGCAGGTGAGGGAACAGGCATGGGACCCCCTGTCCCTGGGCGGCTGTCAGCAGGCTCGCCTGCTGTCTTCTGGGACATGTGGTGGGGGATCTGGGAGGCAAACCGGGCCTGGGCTCCCTCTTCCCCTACAGGTGGTTGGCACCCCTGGCCAGAGGGTGCTCTGGGCCTCTGCCCACTGGAAGCCACAGCCTGGACCAACTCACTGGCCTTATCTTCGGGAACAAGCTCACCTTGTCCCAGCCCTTTTACCCCCTTTGAAGGCTACCAACGGTGGCCAGGAGACTCCGCTGGGATTCTCCTGGCTGCAGGGCTTCATCAATAATTGATTCTGTGGAAGGCAGTGGAGTTCCTGAGGACGGGCCCAGGCCAGGAAGGAAAGGCCCACAGCCCCAGTCACTCGGATCCTGTGACAGTGGTCCCACGAAGGCTCGTTTCTCATCGGACACACACACACGCAGACCCTCAGACTAAAGATGGCCCTCAGATCTTTGCTCCCCACTCTGGCTGGGGGGAGGGATAGAGGACAGCTGTACTGATGACCCAGTTTTCTGATCTTGCCCCCAGCCCCCTAGGGCTGACAGATGACAGATGATGGATGATAGATCATGGATGGTGGTCACACGGCAACATCCCGCTT